CGGTAAGATTTTCATGTAGAATTTAGTTGAGCATTATTGCGGAATTAAGGGATTTATTGTTACTACGGTAACAGTACTAATTGCCGAAAAATACGGTATTTTAATTGGTCAGAAGGTTTCGTCACTCGTCACAGGTTTCGTCAATCGTCAGGGGTTTTGTCATCATGAAAATAGTGAGTATCTTATTTATGGCGAAAAAAGTGTTCAGATCACGTGGTAACCAATAAGAATTGACACAAACTAATAAAAATGCGTAAATTTTTGATCAGCCCGGCAAAACAAATCCGACACAAGAAAATGAAAAAGCAAAAAAAAAGTAAAAAATACGGGAAACAGATGCCTAAATCTAGCTTGATAGACTAATCAAAAATGTCGGGAAGACAATTTTATATATTAGTTTGACTCCAGACCTACCCCAAACCCTAACCGTAAATTAATCTGACAATAATCTCTATTATCATCGAATTTTTCCGGATATACCCGAATATCACATGATCTGAACACTTGGCTAGGGTACTCGAAAATAGTTTCGTCAGGTATCATTAATCTGCAATGGCATTGTCTAGTTCCGAAACACTTCACAGCTGCACTCAAAATGTGACCGAAAAATGTTACCACACTAGAGAAACGAGATGAAGTCGATTATTGTTTGACCATATTGCTCTTTTTTGATGAGCACGATCTCGTAATTCAAAAGGATCATCTGGATGTTTCAGGATTTGATTTAGTACTGCTAATGATTCATAACGATGAAGTTAATAATAAGAATCACTCGGAATTTCCAAAGCCGTTGCACTATGGCTTCGACGCTTCAAAACTCGTCTGACATCTTCAATGCTTCACGATATCGATTTAGAAAGTAATAAGTGTCTGCACGAGGCTTCAACGCACAAATACTCCAAGGCATGATTTTCAGTGCACGCTTATACTTTCCAATGCCTCGTCACACCGATTCAATTTTCGCAAAGCAAAATCCCAAAGTCGTAGAATGGAAATTTCCTCGTGTATCATTTCAAGCCTCAGATCAAACTCGCCCATAGCATAAATATTTCCAGCGTGACCTTGTATTAGCTCCTCGATAAATACCTTTTTCGAGAATTTCAGTGGTGGTATGTACATCGGACAGTGCAGACTCTCAACAATTGGATCTTGAATATTGCATCGAAAAAGTTTCTCCAAGTTCGTACGTACTAATGTATTTTCAAATAAATCGAAGCATGACCGCCAAGGGCAAACGTGTCATTCGGAAACCATATTAGAATAGCTTCAAGTTTTGTAAGTGCTTGTTGAAATTTATTTACGTGGAAATACGCGGCAGCCCGTATCAACAATGCTGGCTTTCGACGAAGAATAATATTTGCCTCTTGCAATACGATTTCAAAGTCCTTTAGCATCCCATATGCAATCACACGTCTACATCGGATCATGTAATCATCATTCTCTAACTTGCGTTTTGTTCGATTCGAGCACACGAAACTGTTTCGATTTCGGGTTCGCAACGATTCTTGCAGATGAAACGTGTACCATTTGCCATTTCTTTGCCTCATTGCAACCATGGCCTTTTTCTTTGGCGACCGCGACCAACTGCTTTCATTTTGAAATATTGATTGTTTTATGAGAGATGGTGAATAGCGTTCTTTAATAATGGGTATGCCAAACAGAATTATCCTACTTCGAGAGTTGGACCCAAGACTCGAAATTTTATTACTTGATAGCCCAGCATGTTCCGCTTAAAAAAAGAAAAATGAAGTTTGAATTAGTGTCAAAAAAAATCTATCCACTATATTGAGAGTTTATCAGTAAATCAACAGATTTTATAAGCGTTAATCATAATTTTTTAAAATTCAGTTCAAAGGATTGTGAATAGATAATTTATTAAAAAACTTTGTAGGAGTACAATGTCTCACAATCGACTTTTCACATTAATAATTTAATTGAATAATCACCAATTACTCTTCAATTTGACATTTCACTTATTCTTTTTCTGGATTTTGACAGAATGTATTCCCGAGAAAAAGTGCAATGCAGAGTAAAAATAACCTTTTTAATAATAATATATCAAAGTTCATCGAAATTTCTTTAGTCATCTCTATTCGCGGAGAAACTTCAGGCTCATTCATAGTAATTTTTTTAAGAAGATAATACGTTGCGACACGACTATATTTCAAGTTAACACTACCATTATGCAGGTCATCTAATGATATGTATTACATTTGAATCATGGATAGCCACGAAGAAGTTATTTTTTTTTAAGCAGAGCTATCAAATAATAAATTTCGGGTTATGGTGGTCCTGTGCTATTAGAAATGAACGCTGTTATCTTTAAAGAAATAATCGAATTATTTCTTTATGTTTTAATATGTGTTCACTTGTGGCTATATCTTTACATCCCACTGTATCAACTATATTAATTCCTACTTAATTTAATTTAAATTTTCTCTACGGTCGAGGCGTAGAACAAAGTGCTACAATATATATATATATATATTATTTTCGAGCACTATCTAAATAAATCGAATTATGTAAATTGACAAAAAATACCTCAATCAACAATGCCATAAACCTTTGCAATATAGCTGATCCATTTTTTCGTGATTTTACAGACCTCTTCACTATCAGATCGAAACAAGTCCCGGTGCGTTTGCCCACAACCAGGACATGGTAAATTAAATTTAAGGTCTGTTAGTTCTAAATGGATCAGGTTTTCGGCACGACGGGAATATTTTGTCGGAAACTTTTTTATAAGCACGGTCTTGTAGTTGCACTTTTGTTCTACTCCTTCAGTTCTGCCAACTTGGAAATACGAATCTGATGGATTCATTTCCCAGGTTTCTGGGTAACTGTAATTATAAAATGTAATAATTAATTAAATAATGATAATGGTAATGGTAATAGTAATGGTAATAATAAATACCTTGATATACATATATGTATCCTGATCCATCATGACCCGAAATGTCCCTCACCATTTCTTTCCGTAGAGAAACTTTGATTTCATCGCGAGTGTCTTCATTAATATACTCTATACAAACAAACTGATTATAAGGTTATTGATGACTTCATTCAAAGAAAAGAAGTATAAATACCGCTGGAATCAATATAGTTATCGGGTGCTTTTCCAACTTTAATGGACGAAGGGTAAGTATCTTCTTTTACACCCTATCAAAATAATAATATATATTTTATTGTTAATTCCTACCAAATGACGCAGTAACTATTCTATCATCACAAGAACTTGGCAAATATAGCATTCGATCTTTGCAAGTGAGCAGTAGCCATTTCGTCGCAAAATTCGAGACATTGACGAAGGAAAATTCATATCATCACAGATAATATTTTTATATTTTAAATAAACATTTATTTCTATATTATAAAAAATGCATGCTTTTAATCTTACCTTCGCATCTTCAACTAACTTCAGATATTCGTCAATATTTATAACGTCGTCTCCTAATTTATTTCCGAGCCACATAATGAAAACTTCTTTTTTGAGACTTAGGGCAACTTGTGGGAAGTTTGCACCATTGATTTTCCACATATTGGTATCGTTAGTTTCAAAAAAGGTTTCAGCGAGAGCATAAATCTCTTCTTCTTTATCATTTAGTTCTTCGCCGGAATTTTTTAATGGGTAAACAATCTCTGACATGATAGAGATAATTATTTAGGAATGTGAAGTTTATAAATGCCATTTTGAAATAACTGCCTAGTGATCCTGGTTGATAATTGAAAAATCAGCTCAGCTGATTTTCAACTTAATCAGTTGATTTGAAAAAATCAGATCAGTTGATTCGAAAAAATCAGATCAGTTGATTTTTAGTAGAACTTACTACGAATCAAATGAATTCGATCCTTCTGCAAATGAATTTAAATGATGTGTTGTAGTATCTAACAATGTACTTGTATTTACATGTATATATAATATCACGTTTTGACATGCGTACACTTGTGGCTACAAAGATATATATAAAATTATTCCAAATAAATCAAATGATGTAAATTATGATTATGAAAAATACCTTAACAGGCACCATAAACATCTGCGATATACTTGATCCATTCCGCAGACCACATCTAGGGAGGCATTGTACTATTCCCGGTGTTTTTTCTGACAGCCAGGACATTGTGGTAAATTCATTTTATAGTCTGCTAGCTCTAGATGGATCAATCGTTCGGTGCGATAGGAATATCTGGTCGTATAACTTTCAATAAGATTAATTTTATAATTGCTCATTTTTTCCCATTGCTTCATTCGATTTTCTACGTCATTAGTTCGTCCAATTTTGTAATACGGATCGGATAAACTCTTATTTTCCCGCTTTTCTTGATAGCTGCAGCTATAAGGTGCAACAGTTAATTAAATATCAATAAAATAATGAACCGGTAATAATAATAAATACCTTGATATATATTCTTTTGTATCTCAATCCAAAATCTCTTTTGTTATTGCGCTCCGTATAGAAACTTTGAATCCATCCTGGATGTCTCCTTTAATATAGTCTATAACAACAAATTATAAGATTATTGATGACTTCTGAAAGAAATTTTTATAGTACAAAACTCCCAGCTATAACAACCTTTTTATAAGGAACATCAACGTCATCCGTTATATTCTATCAAATAATAATAACGATAATAATGTGCATATTAGTGTTAACATTAATCTATACTCTTTGAACCATTTCACTATCATTGTTAAATAAACTAGAAAACGGAAACCGTTTCAAGTCCGGAGCTATGTTTCATTGATTTTTCAATTACATGCACGTAATTTTTCAGATTCCTGACGATCATCTTACTTTTTAGTAAACAAAGAACGCAATTGGTTAATTCACGCGTGCGAACAAACGGAAATCGCCACGTGACCACAATTTTTACAGTAAATCGTATAAAAAGAATGTCCTTCGCTACGCTCCGGAGAATTAAATTAAATGAATCGTAATTATTAAATAAATAAATAAGTTTGAATAACATAAAAAAATAATGAAAAGATAATATTACATACGTATTGGTAATACCAAGCATGGTATTTCCATAGATCGAAGAAAATTTAGAAGAAAATAATAATTTAAATTAGAGGAAAAACAGTTGTTGCTTTATAGTGAGTCCGGAATCATTTTTTGCCTTTATCTCCGACCATCTCTTCTGGTAGGATTCTTATTTTTAGGAAATTTTCATAGTCCCGTTCACATTCCACACATTAGTCATTGTCAAAGTCTTTTTTTTTATATAAAACTTTCATTACTATAAACCTATCTAATTTATGAGACGTACAATATAAACCTAAGCTACATGATTTAGACTTTAAAATAAGAGAACTTTAAGATTTAATTTTAAATACCGAATTCTTATGGATAAAAAGATTTTCGTTCCAATAAAGCAGTTGCTTATATTTAGTAACATTGTGATACAAATTTTACCGTTATCAAAGTCTCGTTATCAGTATTAAACCTTTGACAGAGAGTTTTGCCTTAATCAAACAAATTGTATTCAAGCACCAAGCTTTATAAATTTTGCACAGATGTCAGATGTCACATGTTAAAATCTAGCTGCTATTTTCAATCAACTGATTTTATCAAGCTATATGAATTAGCTCTCGTTTGTTTGCTCAAACGTGACAACCTAATTTTGAACGAAATCGACCTTTGGGAAAAGGTGCTTGAATGGGGAATCTCTCAAGCTGCAGATACAGAAGAAATTAATCTATTAATTCCAACAGAAAAATGGAAGCATAACGAATTTAAGCAATTCAAATCTACGCTTAAAAATTGTTTACCATTGATTCGTTTCTTCCACACCAATTCGGTTGATTTTTATAACAAAGTTATACCATATGCTGAAATTTTGCCAGGAACGCTTTATTATATCATTATTTGGTGCCGAGAAGTGAAAACACAAGGCTACCTTACACCTAATGCTCCAACCGGGTCGGGTCCAATCCGTGACCCGACCCGGAACGCACATTCCGGGTCGGGTCGGATTGGGATCAAACCCGATCCGAAATAATTCGGGTCAGCCTAAAAAACGTTATTTTTCGTTCAATATTAATTGGAATTAAACGAAAATTCGTGGGCATATACACAATTACATTTCGAACAACTCTACTTAGACACAAAATACAAGTGTTTTAGTAAAAATAAAAGTTATTAACGAAAAACTATTTTACAATTTTCGGATCAAACCCGATCCGAATCCGACCGACCCGAAATTATCGGTTCGGGTTGACCTCAAATCCGATCCGACCCGAACAGAGCTTTACTTACACCCAGTTCGCAAATCCACAATTATCGACTCTTCGATTCTTTCGTACAGTTAGATCTCTAAAATAATTAAAGAACAAGATGACAATTCAATTAAATTTAAGTTGTTACTGAGAGATAATCGAATGGATGCAAGAACACTGACTTTCATCGTCTGTGTGATAATAAAGGTCCAACAGTCATTGCCATGCATATAAAAGATACCGAAGAGATTATTGGTGGCTATAATCCATCTGAATGGGATTCACTTAACACATACTAATCAGAGTTAAATAGCTTTTTATTCGAATTTAATCTAAGTAAATATAAACAAGTATTAAGTGTGTAATGCTATGCAAAACAGGATCCATTTTTTGAAGATGGTCGTGACTTACCTCTAATTGGTCCCGATTATAATACATGTACTTTTAACAATTACTGTAAGAAATTCTCCTTCGACCATGGTTTGTTATGTTCTGACGAAACAAAGAAATTAGTATTGCAGTAGAACAGCAATAATTTTTTCGCTTTCATTATATTATATTATTACGATAAAATAATGTCAGTAGTCACCGGCGAAAATAATGGCAGTGAGATTGTTATATAAATTCTACCACATTACTAACCTTTTTTATAGAGATAAAATATATAAATAATAGCGTTAGATTTTTCAAGTTGATAACAATAAAAATAAAATGTGATGAATTTGCGAAAAAGCACATCACGGCAAGTCATTTTCCCGATTGCAGGTTTTTAAAATTTTCAACTTATTTTCTCGATAATCAATAATCAGACTTTTGTAATTATATCAATAAGACGAACATTTTGGTAGTTAAAAACGTTATAGTTACAAAATATTTAAAACATTAAATTATATTCAAACTTGCATTGACACGGAAAGAGAACACACCAAGTACTAATATTTTATGGGCATAAAGCCCTACTCAGAGGCATTTTTAAAATAAATTTTTTTAAATTTTATTATAAATTAAATGAAATATAATAGAATTTGTAATATATAATAACGAAACTGAGTTATATCAGTTATATCATTAAAAAAAATTTTAAAACTCTGGCTGCGTAATAACTAGAACTGGAAAAAGGTATGAATGATCATAAAAAGGATCCAATTATACTATAAATTACTTAAAATAATATTGTCCTTTTAATAATTCTTTTAATTGATCACATGTACACGTATTTTATTTATTAAATATCATATACATGTACATGTATGTAAATATTTATTTTATAGATTTATAAAAGTTTCTACTAATTATTAAATTTTAGACGCTAATAAAGGTAAGCATGATGAATATATAAAAATGCAGTATTGTTATTTTTTGTTATTACCGTTACTGTTCAGATTTAGATTTTATTTTTATCAACTTTAATACAAATTCCCATTAACGTTAATGTTGATAGACTAAGTCGGATTTTCTATCTTATTTTTATTTGAAACAAAGACTAGAATAATATGATGAAAGTATTAATAGATATTAAAAGCTACAAATGTTAGAAAACTCACTACCTTTTATCAATCAATGGAACTAGGAAGGCGAAACCAATCGAATTTCAATTATCAAGAAAATAATAATTAGGAAGGAAGGAAGGAAGGAGCCCGATGGGAGAGGAACTTTGTCCAATGAACTTATCTAATTAGGGCTCTAGTTTGAAATTGGCCACACACCAGTGGCTGGTCAATTCGGCTTGAGACTCTTGAGTAGCTGGCCCAGCCGGCTTCTAGTTTAGGGTGTTTTCGAACACTAAAAATGTTGCTCTTTTTTTCATATAGTCTAACCTCGATATAACGAACCTCAATGTTAATAAAACCTGAAGATTGTTCCAGAAATAGTTATAGTAAATCCACCTCGCTAAACCGAATTCACTAAATAAATCGAATTTTTCAAAATGTTTTACTAACAGCAGCCACTTCGTTATATTGAGGTTTGACTGTAATTAAAGTTTCAGAGATTGGCTTTTATAATAGAGTAAAATTAAATACACATATTTTGTACATAATTGGTTAATAGCAATAGCTGTCGTTATGGACCGAAGATAACGTACATGTATCACATGCATGTATCGATCATTTTTAAAATACACGTACATGTACATACCGATACATATCAATATTAGATAGCAACGATGTTGACACCCAATTCTTTAACCTCTCACCTAAATCGGTTTGCTAATTTTTATGAAAACACGAAATATTGTGATATTTCAATAATTGTGATGAAAATCATTCAACTGCTCATTCGGCAATCTTAATGGTGCAGTCGGAATATTTTGCTGTACATATGCAAATCGAATTCTCCAAAAATACCAATTTAATTTATTATAATTATAAAAATCTAAAGTCGAATTGTTTCTTCTGGTCTAAAGATAGATTCTAAAAATTGCACATTTCATTTAAGAAACACAAGTTTACTAAAAAAGTCTTTGTCGCAAGCAGCTTCTTTTAGCAGTCAGATGCAACACTGCATCTGTAAATAGTCTTTCACTTGGTACTGATGTTGCTGGCACAGACAAGTATTTGAATGCGAGATTAGAAAACAATATTTTCGCTCTTTCCACCAAACCAATGGAATAACACTTTCTCTTTCAACTGGCAATTCTAAATAATCTTTAATTTCATCTTGCGAACACCTTTTTTCAAACAACTTGGCCAACAAACGGCTTGGTTGTAGTTGATGATTCGGATAATTCAGCTTTATTTGGTTTTTGCATAATTTTTAAATGCAACCTTTTCATATAATATAGAAATAGTTTCTGTTGAACTTTTAAAATGAGGATCCAAAATACATTTAACGTTAATAGCCATTAAACCAAACATCCCAATATTGAGACATAGATAAATAAACCGTGTTTAGTAATTTCTCTAATAATTCGCTTGTTCCTACTAGAGGGAAATTAATCTTCGTTTTAAAACGAGTATCAGTATTTGTTTTGGTCGTTACTGATAATCGGCTAATATTTTGTGCTTGAGAATTGGTTCAGTAATTGTAATTATATCCGTATTTTCTTCAAATTCATCTAATGAAATTTTATTATTATACTAAATTTAATGCGGGATAAACAGTAGAAGAAACGGAGCCAAGCTTTCAACACATATTTCGATAAATAACAATAAAAATTAATATAGAATATATAATGGATAAATAAATAAATATAAATCAGTGAATAATTTATATCCCGTAAGTTTGCAAATATAAAGTACCTGCCAAGCATTGAATTGCACGTTTGAGATATAATAAACGACTCCAGGCTAAATCATGATTGTTGTGGACTGCTATGAAAAATAAATTAAAATTTGAATACTTCGAGACCTTTTCTGACACCAATGTGTAATGTGTGAGCAGCACTCAAGGTATACGATTAACATTTGACCAAAGTCATATTGCTTTTTTAATATTAGAACCGTTGTCAGTAGCTGCTGCAAATATTTTGCCATTGACATTCAAGTTTGAACAATTGAAGTAAGAGCATTATAGATATTCTCAGAAGTATAAAAAGAAGATAATTGTTGAATTGAAAGAAGTGCCTCGTGAAGTATACAATTAATATACAGCCAACTCACAATTACTCTAATAAATGAATAAAAATGCCTTTTGTTATATTATGAGTTTTTTGCGAATGATTTACAAGATTGCTGGTAGAATTGCGATGGCTATATATTCGTTCTAAGCCATTTTCTTCACAAATAAGAGAACGAGCAAATTGTTTATTGTCTTCAATTTTTTCATACACAACCAAACATGACCTATTGTTTTCTTATTTGTGCAGATAGTGGTGATACAAGAGCAGCTTTTTGTGATTCAGTAAAGTAATTTCAGCAATTATTAAAGGGCTAGTAGGAGGTGTAATACGAGAAATTCGCGTGAAGAAAAAGGACTATACTCATTAGAAGAATCTTTTTCTTTTTCTAAAGATTGATTTTTACATTTCTTACATAGATAGGAGTTTAATATAAATTTATATGTATCGATAAGCAATATTACCCAAAAAGTAAAAGTTTATTCGAGTGATTTGATCAAATCTTGGATAGTTCGGTCGAAACTACGTCCGAACTACTTAACATTCCTAGCTTATTAGTATTCGCCTGATTCATCATCAAGAAATTTGATTTCCTGAACGGGGTATGGGCATAACATCTAAAGTCATCAAACATTTGTATTTTATAAAATGTATAGACTTTACTAAGTAAATACACAATTTAATCCGTGGATATGATAGAACAGGTCCTTTCTGTGCATATTCACAGATTAAATTTTGTATTTACTTCTTATAACATTTTACATGTAATTACAAATGTTTGATGACTTTTAACGTTAATGTTATGATACAGCGATTACGTATTATTCAGTTGTACAAATCAAATTTGGGGGATTAATACTCGGATGATCGATAATATTAGGGTCATCCAGAGAGGGCACAAATCAAGTTCGGGGGTGTTCTTGATTCGGAGTATATTCTTGATTAGCAGGGTGCTCTTGATTAGCAGGGAATTTCAAATTAAACTTCACCTTTAAACTTTACTTCGCAAAAATGCCAAAAGTTAACTATACACTAAAACAATCTGGAGAAGTGTTAGATACGAAGGAGAGACGAGTATATCGGAGCGTTGGCAGATTTTTTGAAACGGGTGGTACGTGGGATATAAAAAATTTTCTGAATTTTATAAATAATGATGCAAAATTATCCCAAATACCACCAAGTTTCAAAAAGGAACTGTTCACTATGTGGCTGGGAGAGAAGTTGAGGTGTGGCGAGATAGAAGTTGAGGAGTATTTGAAGGTGGTTGAAGGGGCAAAGGTAGGATTACCTACATACATTTTTTAATAGCGAGATGGTATGATTTTTTTTTCGTCGAGATCTCGATTTTTGCGATGGAATGGCTACTACCTCGTTCACAGAGATCGAATGCTTTATTTGTTATGAGCTTGATTTGTGATGGTAGAATGGCTACAACTTTATCCGCGGGGAGAATCGAAAGCTATATTGGCTAAGATCTCGAAGGATCTGTGATGATTTGACTTTGAATTTTCATTTTCTTCCAATTTGAATTTTTATTTCTTATTTAATTTTTAATCCATTATGATTTGAATTAGAATTTTATTATTTTTCTTTAAGGGACACCCGGTTTATGTGAAAAGACTACTATTTTGTATATCGAATGCTAGTATGGCTAATATCTTGCCCGCAGGATATTAATTGCTATAAATAGCTGAGATCTCGGGATAGCTACTGTTTCATACACAAAACCGACTTTGAATTTTTATTTTCTTCTAAATTGAATTTTAATTTCCAATTCATTCTATGATGGTTCAAATTTGAACTTATTTAAATTTCTAATTCGTTTTCTGAGATCTATGGGAATGGCAGTACCTTACTCGCAGAGATCGAATGCTATATTTGCTAAGGTTTCGGCTTGTGATGGTACATTCTATTTTGCCTTGCAGATCGAATGCTTTGTCTGCAAGGTAGTTATCTATACTTGCTGAGATCTCGAAATATCTACTGTTCTACTGTAGATTTATTATGATTCGAATTCGAATTTTTATTTTTCTTTAACTTTGCTCTCGTGGCCTAATGGTATTACCTCACCGGTATAGCTGCTGTCCCCGGCCGAATCGAAGCAAGGTCTCGATTTGTGTGGAGAGACTACTATTTTGCAGATTGAATGCTGTATGGCAAATACCTTGCTCGCAGGGTATTAATTGCTATCTAAATCGCTGAGATCTCGGAATAGCTACTGTTTCATTTACACAGTTGAATTTGAATTTTCTAATTTAAATTTTTATTTTCTTCTAAATTTTCTTCGATCTATGGAAAGACTATGCTTGGTATTACCAGCATGTAATATTATCTTTTCGTATCTTTTTTTTTACTTAATTTTTATGCTATTCAATCTTATTTATTTAGCATTTAAATAATAATAATAATAATAATAATAATAATAATAATAATAATAATAATAATAATAATAATGATAATAATGATGATGATGATGATGATGATAGTGGAATATTAACACTAATATGTATATTATTGTTATTATTTGATAGGAGATGACAGACGAAGTTGACGCCCCTTATAAAAAGGTTGTCGTATCCGGGAGAGCGCAAGAGTACTACGTTGATGTCGATGGTATTTGTACTTCTTTTCTTTGTATAAAAATTTCTTTCAGAAGTCATAATGATCTCATAATTTATTTGTTTATAGACTTCATTAAAGGAGACATCAGGGATGAAATCAAAGTTTCTCTACGGAGCGAAATAATAAAGGAGATTTCGGATCGAGATGCAAAGGGATATATATACATATATCAAGGTAATTATTATTAT